AAACACTCACCATCACGCAGCCAGACTAGAAGGCACACTTGAATAACATCACAGAGTCCTACACGGTCATGTCCAGCCATGACAGCTGTCTCCTCCCAGAGGCGCACAGACAGCCATGTACACACACTGACACCCTGCGCCCTAGAGCCAGCCTCCGAGAAGCATACACAATATCACACAGGCAATGCCCATTTCTACCCACATGGTCACACGAACACACAGCCACACCATGGTCACATGCAGCCCACAACGCGCAGAGCCACGCCCAAGCCACAGAGAGTCACACACATGCAGTCCCAATTACACACTCGTCACATGCTCACATCCCCACATTGCAAACACCATCATGGAGACCCACTCTGCTCATGGGCCCTCTGGGACTGAGACCTGGTGGGAGTTGGCCCCTGCTATGGGAATGGGAGTGTCTGACTCACAGCCGCCAGCTTAACCCCTCTCTTGGCTGGACCTCCCTGGCCATCCTCTTTTCTGAGTGCCCACTGTTTTCATTCTTCAGGCTTTGCTGAGTCTCCACACCCATAGCCACCGAGGGGAGGGGCATGTAGTTTTGGAGATACTGATGGCCCAATCAGCATTAAACCTCATCCGTTTATTCCACATGCCATCATTCAGCCTGTGTGCCAGGTGCTGTGCTGGATGCTGGTGGAGAGAGAGGATACTGTAAATCAGACCAAAACTGCCCACCAGTGTAATGGCCATTTCCAAATGTGTGCTTGTATGACCCTCTATGGATCTAGTTCCAAACACCAATTTGCTCCTACGCATTGACCTTAGGGAGGCCCCCAGCAAGTCCAAGACTGTCCAGTCTCATTCTTCTCAGTGGCCATTTCCAGGAGGGTGTATGGCGCTCGTGTAATTGACACAACCTCTGAGGGTAGTGTCGGGGACAAACTCAGGAAAGACTTCTGTGTCAACTCCCCCCTACCTCACAAGGAGTGAACCCTGCCAGGCAGCTTAGGTGGAAAACATCCTGTACGAGGGCCCAAAGCCTGTACAAGCAGGCTTTTGTCCAGCTCCAGTATGTCATCTTGGTCCAGTCAAGTCCCCTCTAGGGCTGAGCTTCTCCATGTGTAACACAAGGGCAAGGGAGCTGGGCCAAAGCAGCTTCTCATGGTGGGCAGTGGGGAAGGAATTATTTTATTAATATAAATATTTCTAGGTCCAGTCCAGACCTTCTTGATTCCAGAATTGAAGACCCACTGGCTCTGGGGACCTCCTTAGTGCTTTCCGGCTCTAAGAACTATGAAATGTTGAGGAGCAGCAGTACTGGAGGCCAAGAACTACTCCAGAGACTGCTGAAGGCCTCTTCTAGCCTGGGATGCCCAGCAAGCAGGAGCAACAGTCACCCTCCCAGGGTAGCCACGGCATCTGGCTGGTTTAGAGGCTTGGGCCAGTGAAGGGCTTGTGGTTAGGGAAGGTGACAGCCAAAACAGAACTTTGGGACCCTGAGCTTGGCTGATGCTGGGCTTCCAGGGTGGTCTGGGGACTCTTGGTACCTTTTCCAGGGAAAATGATCCTGAGGTTCCATAGTACTAGGTCCCAACCCCAGGCCTGAGGGCTTGCCTTAAGTGTGAGGGTGGCAGGCAGGGAAAGGTTGGAAAAGTCCATGGGACAGTTTCAAGTACCTGGGGGCTCTAAATTGGGGTTCTGTTTATTTTGAACCCAGTTTCCTCCACTGAGTCAACCTGCTTCCAGGTTTCTACTCAGATCCTCTCCTGATGCTCATAGAAGAATCATATGCTGTCAAATTGGAGGGACATTTGTGGGGACCTGCCCCATTTCTCCAGCCTCTGGTGCAGCCCCTCAAGTATATACGTCATCAAAAAGCTGCATCATTAGCATTCCACGTGCTCGGCTGCACTCAGCTAGTCACATACAGGGTGTCATTTTATCCTTACAACAATTTTAATGGTTTGTATTACTAACTCCATTTTACAGTTGAGAAAAATGAGGCTCAGAAATCCTAAACCAGCTCTCCAAGTAGCAGAACTGAGATTCAAACCTACTGCCACCTGCTCTGGAACCCAGGTTCTCAGTCACATCTTACAGTGGTATCCCTCAAATTCTGCCTGATGCCTCCAACTTCGGGAACTCTCAAATACTTATTGAGGATGGACTGTACACACACAGGTTGGAGGAAGCAAAACTCAAAGAGAGGTAAACCTGTTCCCCAGAATGCCTTATTCCAACAGAAGAAACAAGATCTGAGAATCTCACCACACAAGGCAGAGGGAGTTGGTGCCTAAGACAGAGGTGGAGAATGTGCTACTCTTGGAATGCTCTAATTATTTAAAATGTCTTCCTTATATTGGGCCTAAATATACATTCCTCCAACTTCCATTTGGTTCTCAGTATTCTGGCCTTAAAAATCACACAGAATCAGTCTGAATCCTTTCACACTTTCAGACAGTTCTTACAGCTCACTGCCCATTTTCTGTGGGGCTGGTTATCTTAATTCTCTTTAAGTCTTGACTCCCATCAACTCTGGCTCTGGAAAAACCCAGAGAGCCTCAATGTCAGGATGTAAGAATTCCAATCCCAGCCCTTTCACGTACTGGTTGTGCAATGTTGGGCATGGCCCTGGGCCACTCTGAGCTTTGGTTTCTTCATCTGTGAAATGGGGATGGCAATACTTGCCCCACCTGACCAGAAGATGAGGATTAGCTGAGATCCTCAGTGGGAAAGAGTTCCAATGCTACCGAGGGACAGACCCTCACCTGCATCCCTGTACTTAGGAGGAGCTGAGGGTGGCTCCTGGATTAGCTGGAGACTAAATGTCTCCCTGCACATCTGGGTATGCAGGGTACAGTGCCAGATGCCATGAGGGTGAGGAGCTGGGGAAGGCAGGGTCTCTGCCCTACAGGAGCTTTTGGTCCTGGGATTGAAATCTTCAGTCATCACTGAGTCCTCTGGGAACATAAGCTTTATAATCAGGTTGGCTCTGATACCTTCCAGAAAGATTAAGTGATGGGGACAGGCACATGCCAGTGGGTGAGCTAAAGGAAGGTGAGAAAGAGGAAGGGGAGCTAACATATGTGAAACATCTATGTACCAGGGCAATTTGGTCAACTTCACAACATTATAAAGGTGGACTTATTATTACGTTCATTTCACAGGTGAAGAGACTGAGGCACAGGGAAGTTTTATTTGCCCAGGTCAATAAAGTGTGCTTTCCTGGGTAAGCCATGAAAAGGACCAGAATCTAGGCAGATGCTGCCATTTACGGCCTCTGCTCTCTGAGGAGCAGTGGCAGGGTAGGGAGGGACAAAGGGGTCCTTTGTCACCCTATGGTCTCCTATATCACCTCTGCCCCTGGGATTTCTCATTAATGTAACCAGAGGTACACCATTTCCCTCATCTTCACTTATTCTTTCAGTGCCTGGATACTGAGCACTTATTATGTGCCTGTCCCTTTGTTGGATACTGTGTTCCCTGAGGCAAAAGACCCCATCCCTACCCTCACATAGCAAGTCCCCCCCACCAACCGCCCCCTGCCTCCTGAGAGCATCTGAGAGGAACAATGCTGCCAGAAGGGTGGTTACCGAACAGGGAAGGCAGAAGGATGTTTTAGAATCTACAGACAGTCAAGTGAGGGGAGCAAGAATTGTGCATATAGTATGATTCCATTCATGAAAAGTTCACAAACAGGTGAAAGTAAGCAGATATAGGTGATAAAACTAAGGAAAAGCAGGAAAGTTATTAACACAAAATCTGGAATACCCAAGTAGAGGAGAGGATTCTAGTCCAGAAGGGTCCCTCAGTGGGGTACCTGAAGACCTGGCTGAGTCTTATTTCTTGAGCTGGGTACCTAGTTTATAAGTATTCCTTAACTCTGTGTGCACATGTGTATTTTAATTCACTCTTCTTTGTATTTTTAATCACCATTTTAATACAAGTGCATGTGCACGTGTTCATCACGCCCAACTTTCATGACCCTATGGACTTAATACATAGAAATTGCCAAATTCACTATTTGATGGGACTGAGGTTGACCTCCCACTGTGCCCTTCCCAGAGCAGTACCTAGTAAGTGCTTAAAAAGAAAGTACTGAATTGTAGTGAGTTTTGAAGGAGCTGGAAGTGGAGTGCATGGTCCAGCCAGATGGAAGGGGTATGACCTCAGATCTAAAATCAAAAGCTTACCAACAAGGGATTAGTTCTTCAATGAGAACTTCTTGAAGACCAAGAGGATTTAGGGGAGTCTTTCCCATGACTGTCTGGGTACTTGAGTGCCAGGAGATCCCCAAATGAAACCTCAGCATCCAGAATCAGCTTCCCTTCCCTCAGTCCATCATCAAACCATACAGTAGTATAAAGAGCACTGAGTCAGAGGCCTGGATTGGAAATCCAACTCTGTATACACTAGCCAGGTCTTTCCTCGGCAAGGCACTTCACAACACTGGCCTCAGTGTCTTCATCCATAAAATGGGTCTAATAAACCATCTACTTCACAAGTTACTATGAGGCCCCAAGGAAGTTATAGATATGAAAATGTTTTGGGGACTGCCATGTAGGTTTATGCCTAAAAGGCTGTATTACCCTGGTATTCTCCCCGCCCCCACCCACCTTCGTGCCACCATTTTGCAAACAGGGTTCAGAATAAAGCCTTACTCTGATTAAAACAGTCCCCAATTTCAGCACCCCAGTCTCCTGGGCTTGTGATCTTCAGGGCCTGAGCTTAGGGTGATTCCAGGAGCAAGTTCCCCAAGTTTGAGGAAGCCCAGCTGGGGAAGTGGCATTCCAGGCAGCGTGTCAGAGGGTGAGTCAGGATGAGATGAGGGCGGCCCTTCTCCTCCCTGGCTCTTGGCTCAGGGCCCAGGCTGAGTTACTCTCATTTGCATACATCTGCATATATGCAAGTCTCACCTGTGCACCCTGGCTGGGCCCCAGGGAGATACACCTGTGCAGGGGCATGGAGGGAAACCAGAGTGTCTGGCTGCCTGCTGGAGCACTCAGACCTAGAATGTAGGTCCCTCCACTCACCCAAACGCCCAAATCTCTGAATCAAACACTCGGCTTTTCTGCAGGCGCCTCTGGTTGCCCAGGCCTGGAAATTCTCTGTCATGCTTGCTTCTACCCTCTTCCTGTACAATCACCAGGCCCAGCAGAATCTGTCTCAGAGCAACTTTTCTCACATGTCCCCTTCTTTCCATCACCTCTGCCACCAAGCCTCTGGGTCCACCCTCCTCATTTCACACACGATCTATTTGCAACAGCCTCCTAACCGGGCTCTCTGCCACCAGACTCTTCCCTTGCCAGCCTACGTCGTCATACCCAAGCTGCCCCTGGGAAGTCCCTCAACTCCCATCCCTGGCCTGCCTCTGCCCGCAGCCTCATCCTCAGCTCTTGGTATTGGAGGCCATCCACAGTGTGGGCCCTCCCGACTCTCAATGTCAGCTCGTTCCCTACTTCCTTGCCTCCAATCAAGTGGGTGTAGACTCTACACACATCATTTCTGTGCCTGTCTCCTCTTCTGTAAAAGGAAGGATAGGATTCCCTTGCAGGGTTGTTTGAAGATGTCATTGAGAAAAATGCACATAAAGCATAAGCCCATAGTAAATATCAGCCATTACTGATGTTATAACTTCTCCCACCACCACTCCACAGAAGGCATTCATCTCCTGGGGTTGCCTCCTCCTCCCCAAGCCTTCCTCTCTTCCTTGCTGAGTGAGGCTTCTTCAGGCAAGGCAACTCCACGGTGGTTAAGATGACAAGCTGGCCTGTTCTAGCTTGGACAAGTTACTCAGCCTTTTTGTGCATCAGTTTCCTCCTCTGTAAAGTGGAGATAAAGTGAATACTTACCTCATAGAATCTGTGTGATAAATAAAATGATCCATGTAAGGGCTTAGCTTAGTGCCTGGAACACAGAAAACAGTAAGTGTTCACTGCTATTACCATCACTATTGTGTTACCCAAGACACAGGGTTTCAGAATACCCAAGCTCACCTTAGCCTTCAAAGACTCCAGAAGTTTCCTTAGGTATGTTTTCAGGAACAGTGCTTCCATCTGGATCCCCCTGTGTCTCCCTGAGTCAGAGAATCACTACCCACTGCCCCCAACCCCCCGGGCAGCTAAGCAGTGCCCTATTGGGTTGCCTGGTAGTAGCCAGGAGTGGACTGAGCTTCCCCCTTCCCGTTAGTTCTTGGGCACTTTCTGGGAAGGGCTTGGATCCCCCAGAGATTGGGAGCCACCTCTCAGCCAAGGTGGGGCCAGGACAGGTGCGTATTAGCTCACAAGTTGAGAGGAGTTTTCTCTGGAGAGAAGGGGTAAACTGGTCTGAGAAGACAAAAAGGATAGCTCAGCTCAGTTCAGCTCCCCTTGGAGGTCAGGAGGAGCAGAGCCCCTAATCCCCTCCAGCAAGAACAAGCCCTTTCCCCCTCTACACCCTCCCGTGCCCTCCAGCCTTTTCCAAACAGCAGTTGATGAACCTCTCCTGTGTGATCCTTTCCAGCGGGAATTAATGAGGGTGATTGACGTGGAGGGTAGATGTGGGCAAGAGGAGCGGCGTGAGCCACCTCCCCCTTCTTAAACAGATGGGCCAGGGCCCGCCCCTCCTTTCGGCTTCGCACCCGGGCCTCCCTTAGCTGAGCCCAGGGGAGGAGGGTTGCAAGAGATGGGAGGAGTGATGGAGGGACTGTGCTGCCTCTCACCGTCTCTCCTTGTCCACTCTCCCCCCAACATCAGGCCTGACCCCCCAGAGCCCAACTAGGTGGTACAGGGGTAAAGGCCGCGGAGTTTGGTTGGGGGCGGCGGCGGGGGGAGGGCGGGGGAGGTATTGTCGGTACTCGTGATTATTTCTCTTTGGGCGTGCGGGTGCGACTTCCGCATCCATGTGGAGGCCCGGCTCCCCCATCCACCCCCCACTCCCGACCCCTCGCTAAAGCACTCGGGTCATTCTCCCAGGTCCAGCCCAGCAGAGGTACGGCTGTCCCTCTTCTCCCAGACTCCAACCCAGACTAGGCGCGGGATCGGACCTACTCTTTTCTTACGAAAGAAAAACACGCCGGACCTGCAAAAGGTCTAGTCTTGGCTACAGAAAGTGAAACCAATAACCCCACCATTTAGACTTTCCGCTGGATCCAGGGGGTCTAGAGGGATGGGGCCAAGTAACAAGGTGCGTGTCACCTGTGTGGTGGGCGTGATGCAGTTTTATGTGTGCTGCGGGCGTGGCGTGGTGGCCTACGGAGTGTGTGTTGCGGCTGTTGGCGTCTAGGAGGGAGTGTGTTGTGTCTCCGTGAGCCCGTGCACGCACCCACTTCATCGGTGCTCGCTAGGTGCTGTTCCCACTCCAGCCACGTCCTACCAGCGGCTTCCGTCCGGGGCTGGGCGATGGAGACTTGGGCGGAACGCCCTAAGTTCCGTGCGGGGGTCTGGAAAAGTCTGGAGAAACCAGATGAGCTGCCTTCGTTCCAGGCGCCCGACTTCGTTGCAGACGGGTTGGCTTTGGGCCTCCCGCCAGCTCTTCGCGCTCCCCGCGGGCATCCAGCGCAGCGTCCCGAGGTCTGTCCGCCCGACAGGCCCGGGGCTGGGACACCGGCCCGGAACTCCCGCGCCCCCAACCCGGCCGTTTCCCGCTCCCGCACCGGGCTGGGGCCAAGGCCAGCCAAAGGGCTCTGCCGTCGCGGAGGGCGGCGCCTCTAACGCATCTTCAAAAGGGCCGCCCCACTTTTTGTTAACCGTTTTCTTTTTTGGAGGGGAGGGAATTATTTGGTCCAAGAGTGGTTCATGATATTGTTTTTAATTAATTTGGTGACTTCGTATATGTGTTTAACTGTCCCAGTCAAACCCCAATAAAAGATTTTTCCTGGAGCGGGAGTGAAATTTGGAAATAATGCAATGACACGGGGAGAGTGACTGAGGACCTAGCCTGCCGGAGAACATAGGGCACAGCCCGCCTGCTGAGCGGTGCCGGGATCTCCGTGCGGCGCTGACCCCATGGTCTCCCCCTCCCCCTTCCCGGGAACTTCTCCCAGGTGATCTGGAAAATGAGGCCGGGACGCCAATCACTGAGAAAGCTCTCAGGAGCGTGGAGGTAAGAGCACCCGGAGCGCGGCGGGGCTGGCAGGAGCCAGCCCGCCGGCCAGTCCACGCTCATTCACTGCTCCATCACAAAGAAGAGACAATAACTCATGCACATTTCAGCAAGAGTCAAATCCTTGTGTGTGGCGGGGCACACGGGCCCCTACAGACTTCCCCTTCCCCTCGCGGGCCTCACCAAGAGTGGGGGCTTTAAACACCCGGCTCCCCGCCCAGCGGAGGGAGGACTTTTCATCCCCCTCCCTTCCCTGCCAAACCAGATTATTCACAAAGTTTCCCCAAACCCAGTTACTACGAAAGCTCCGACAAGTAGGACTTAAATTCCACGGAGAACAGACGAAATTAAAATTTCGTTTGGGGTCCATGGGTGGGATGGAGGAAAAAAAGGAGCTGCTAATCCCGCAATGGCGGCCGCGTGCCTCGGGCCGGGTCGTGATGGGAACCACGCCCCAGGGCAGGTCCACGCGGGCGCTGCGTGGAGGGCCTGCATCAGGTTGCAGACCCCAGCGCCCGGCTCCCGTGGCATGCACTCCCCTTTGCTCCCGAACGCGGGCGCGCCGTGTGGTACCGAGTTTAGGGACTGCGCGGTGAGCACTGCACTCATCAGGTGTTTGGGGATGTTTTCGAGGAGGGGCATTCTTTTGGATAGGGTTCCCAGCGTCTGGGCAGAGTCTGAACTCGGGGGACTGCGAGTGAAGCATAAATCCCAGCTCCGAGGGCGCTTATTCTGCGCCAAGAATCAAAACCTCATCGGGTGGGATTGTGTTTGCCGGGCGATTGCGAAGAGCCTGCAAACCACCGTGCTCCGCCGAGATCTTTCGTGTCCACTCACCAAGGCTTGGCTGACTCCCCAGCTCTCGGGGTTGCCGGGTCCCCCAGCCGGGACCCCGATGTCGGCTCCCAGGCCCTCGCTTCCGTGCTGGAGTTCTCCAAGCGAGCCCCTTTCACTAAAGGAGAGGACCTGCGTGAGAAAGAGTTGGGAGAGCCACTCCTGGCTTTTGTGACAAGCAGGGGCTGAAGTACTGGTAGTGACAGGGGAGTTAGTTCATATGTTTTGCCTGACTTCCTTCCTCCCCTCCTCCTCCTCCTCCTTCATCTTGGTTTTATTCGGTCTCTAGACTTTGGTTTTGCAATTTATTCTAAAGCAAATGACAATGGCTTGGAGGTCTTAAGTGCAGCTTCCTCATTTTAGTGGATAAAATGAGTCTCAGAGACGGGACGTGGCTGACCCAGGCTATCACAGCCGGCCCCCGGTTTGTAGCTGAGCTGGGATGGGAATCCAGGCCTCAGGCCTCTGAGGCTGGCTCTCCCTCCCTTCTCATCAAACACAGATTTACAGCCCTTCCTAGCCCGTGCCTATCCCTTCTAACCTCTCCCCTAGCCCTTCCATATCTCCCCACTCTCCCTCCAGGCTTCAAAGTTGTGGCATTGGTCAGAGGGGACCCCTCCATGGGGATTCCACATCTGAGACCACGAAGTTTCCTAAAGATGTTTCAAAGCTCCACACCCTCACACACGTTGGAAGCCCCACACCCCACACACGTTGGAAGAGGGAGCCCTGAAGAGGGAGGTGGTGATGGAAGTAGAGATTTCCTTGTTTGTAAACTGGGGATAATAACAGTAGCCACTTCACGATTCTGGTGAAGATGCACAGGGCTTGGATGTTGTGAAAACTTCATAAATTGTAAAGGACGGCAGGATGCTGCCTACTGCTGCATGGAGATTCATGAGCTCAGTGAAGGCCCCTGAGAGCCTAGGAGAAGCTCTCACTATGAGTCCCAATGAATCCCCTGGCTTCGGAGAGTGCCCAAAGTCACTGCTTCAGGGGCCTCTGGGGAAGCTTCCCTTGCCCTTTCTCGCTAGATTTGGCATGGAAAGGACTCTGAATACATGGCCCTGCAACCCAAACTTTAAGTTCCACCTCAAAAGCACCTCCTTTCTAAAAACTTCCCGGACAGCCATGCATGCATGCTTAGTTGCTGTCATGTCTGACTCTACGACCCCATGGACAGTATAGCCTGTCAGGCTCCTCTGCCCGTGACATTTCCCAGGCAAGAATACTGGGGTGGGCTGCCATTTCCTTTTCCAGGGGATCTTCCCGACCCAGGGATCAACCCGTGTTCCTGGATTCTTTACCACTGAGCCACCAGGGAAACCTCAAAGAGCATTTTTCTCCTTTGGTGGGCCCTGAGACGCCATCCCTGGAGCTCACCATGGTACTGCTGTGTGGCTGCCTCTCTCCAGAGGAAGACGATGGTGGCAAGAAGTTTTGGAAGGCTATATCCCTATAAGTTCTTAGCCCCAGTTCTAAGGGAGTGGTGAGGGTGTAGCTATAATTGGGTAAGGGGGAAAGGAGGTCCCATAAGGAAATTGCATTTCTCAACCCTGCAAACCCTGTTGGATGAGAGGGAAGTGGGTCCCAGATCTCCAAAGGAGGGGGCTCCCTCACAGAGCTCCTTCTCCTGATGCTCCAAGACTTCAGGTGAGAAAACCCAGAGCCAGGTGTCAGAGGAGTGTTTTCTCGGCAAAATTCATCTCTTCACATTGCAACAGTGCATCAACTTGAAACTGACTTGCTCTTCCTTCCCTCAGGACACCTGACTGCATACTCTTTCCAATCTTTTTGTCTCTCCTGGCCACCCCTGTTGTGCCTGCCTTCTCTTCCTTTTCTAAGCTTCCCTCTTCTTCCAATTGTTGTCCTCTCCTACCCCCCAATTCTAAGACTGCTGCCTTCACTCTGTACCCTGATAAAGAGAGCACACGTGTGTACACACATGAATTGTCTGCACACTCAAATGTCAGAGGGTTATATGGGTATTCTGGGGAATCTGTGAGGACCGATAGGCTTGGTGTGTGTGTGTAACTGTCTCACCCCTAACACGAAGCAGCTTAGATGTGTGTGGACTGGTGTGTCTCACAGGATGGGTACAAGTATATAAATATTTATATGCTTGGGTTTTCTTTATTTTAGAGTGTGCACCGACAATTAGACTTGTATAGTTGTGGGTCTGTGTAAGAGACAACCACAGTGCTTTTATTTAGGGTATTGCCATTCATCTTTGGGTGTGTAGATGTGTACACATCACAGCATATACTCTATATTTGTAGATACATAAATGAACCTCTGTTCGTGGAGGGATGCTAATGTGAACATCCGTGTAGACACCGGTGTGCTGGTATACGCTAATGTATCTGTTGTATTTGAATAGAGTCCCTGTGAAGTTGTATACCTGTGGCTACAGAGACACCAGCCCAGCAAGGTCTTGGATACTATTTAGGGGCAGGCCCTGCACACAGGCTGGAAGATGAGGCCACGAGCCCGGCTTGCCGTATTCCCAGCACCCGGCAGGGAATTCCCTCCGAGGAGCAGCCATCAAACTGGACTCGCTTCCCACTCCCAGATTTTGTCCAGCTTCGTGCGAGGCTAAAGCCTTACGCGGCGCCAGGAAAGGCGGGGCGCCGCACTGGCTGAAGCCCAGACGGCAGATCCCTCCTTGGGCCTCGGGGGCCTGCAGGAGCTGCGGTGTCGCAACCGAACCCGGGCCCCTGCCGGAAGCGGAAGCGAGGACGGGGCGGGGTGCCGGGGGTGCGGTGGCGGTGAGACGCAGTCGCGGCGGTCGCGGCGTGCCTGGCCCAGGGCGCCCCGCGGGGGCGTGCGCGCCGCGCGCGTGCTGGGCCGGCTGGGCGCCGGGCGGCACCTCCTGCGACCCGGCGTCTGTTTACCAACATACTGCCGGCGCTCAGCAGCCACGCATTCCGACGCGCTGAATAAGCTGCGGGACTGGCGGGCTTGGTCCGTAGCGGCAGGGTCATAACCGCCGCGCAGATCCCCCAGAGCCAGAGAGCGCGACCGCAGGTTCCTTTCGCCCCCGCAGCCACAGCGCCTCCGCTTAGGCACTGCTCCCCTCGGCCCTTGGGCATTGCCGCCCTGTCGACTTCCTTGCCTTTGTGCCGTTATGACCAGACTGCCCCAATCGTCCTGCAACCCCAGCACCTCTCTGCAGCGGATCCCGAGATAGCCGGGTGTGGGGAGTTCGCACCGGTCGTCTCCCATCTCCCGGTTCTGAATTTCCCTACCCCGGGCTGCCCCGGGGGCGGGGGCGGGGGCGGGGCGGGGAGGTGGGGGGCAGGCCCCGGCGGCAGGCCTCTGTGAGGTCACCGCGGGTGGTAGCCAATCCGCTGCGTTTAAGTGGGCGGGGACCCCGTCGGGTCCCGGGAACCGAACCCTAGAGCCAGCCGAGTGGGGGGCCCCATGGATTTAGGGGGGAGGGGAAAAGTCATGGGGGACACCCTACCCACCCCGATCCCCTTTCCCAGGCGCCGGCTCTCCGCTGATGAGGCTCAGAGAGACACCTTCCCCGGGATAAGTGTGGGAAAGGCTGGTTGAGGGGCTCATCCGGCCCCAACGCCTGAGGCTCGGAAAAGAAAGAGTTGGCGGAGGGAGCGGACTCACTGCCTGGCCATGGCCTAGGCCCTCGGGCCCCGGCCCCGGCCGCAATGACCTCTTTGCCCTGCCCCCTCCCTGGCCCGGACGCTTCCAAAGCCGTCTTCCCGGACATCGCCCCCGTGCCATCGGTAGTGGCTGCCTACCAGCTTGGCCTGTCCCCCGCAACCGCAGCCGCCTCCGATTTGCCCTATTCTGGGCCGTATGGCCACCTTCTGCCCTATCCCTACACCGGGCCGGCGATCCCCGGAGACTCCTACCTGCCCTGCCAGCTATCCACGGCGCCGTCTCAGCCGGCTCATCAAGAGCGGGAGACAGGTAAGTCCCGCCGCGGCGGCTCTGCCCACCTCTGGGTCCTGCTCCAGTGAGCCCCCAAACTTCGCCCTCGCCTGGTTGGGCGCAGCTGGCGGGATTCAGACCTCACTCAGATTCCAAGGGATCTGGGGGTGGGGGGAGGGCGAAGGGATGGGGCGGGAGACAGGGAGGAGGGGCGGGGGCGAGCTGATCTAGGTCTGTTTTCAAGACCGACCTGGTTTCGATTTGCAGTGTGTGAAGCCGGGTTGCTGGGCTCCCTACCCCACCCCCTGGGGCAGCAGGGTTGTGTACCTACTTGTAACGGAAAACTGAAACAATCCAGATGGGGGTGTAGGTGCCTAGCCTCTTCCCTAGGATTCTCTCCATCCAGCACTCCTTCTCTCTTCCATGTCGCCCCTCTCCCAGTTCTTGTCTCAGAAAGCAGTGCTCAAGCCAAAGCCTGATAACTAGAAATCAGGTCCCAGCTGGAAGGCAGTAGAAGTGCGGGCATATTCTGGGGCCCTTCCCCTTCTCCCCTCTGAATGTGTCAGACAGAGACCAAACACTGACCTGGTAGAGTCTGGGGCTAAGACCCTACTACCCATCATTCTAAGTATGTAGCCACAGATGGGTCAAGCAGTCTCTCCTAGTAGATCTCAGCCTTCCAGCCAAAGAACTGGCCATTCCTGTTATCTACACCCCTTGCCTTTGGGGTAGGTCAGGCCCCAGTTCCATTGCCTGGAGCAACTTTGTGCTCACTGGGTGGCCTCAAAGAAGCTAGGGAACTGGCCTGTCTTCCTGGTCCTAGCCTTGCACAGGGCTGTACCCATGCAACACAATATATACATCCATCTGTACTGGCTTGAGTTTAGAGCTTAGTTCCCCTGCACTCCCTACCCCCACCACATTGCCCCACAACTGCTTTTGGCACAGTTTCCTCCAAGGATGCACACTCACTTGGTGACTTAGCTGGAGTCAGCCCAGGACCAAGATGTCTCCCTCCCTTTCCTTGTTGCTCTGCTGAAACACATGACCTCATACACATCAGAGCCAGGAATGACCCTGGAGATTCAGGAGCTCAACCTTCTTGATGTACAGATGAGCAAACTGAGGTCCAAAGAAAGAGTGTGGATGAATCAAGGACACAGCCTGTTTTTCAGGCTTGGCCCTTGCAAATTGGCTTTCATGCATGAAGCCAGAAAAGAGGATTTTAGGGAACTTCCTCAAAGCCCCCCCCAAAGTTAACTGCCTTCTGTTCCAAAACTGGAGCTGCTGCTTTTCTGCTGCTGGGTCTGTGGTTGGAGGAGGAGCAGCTGAAGGTGGGGTGGGGGGGGGTGTTCTACCAATGATCTGGTTTCTAAAAAACCGAATCCCTTGGTCTCTTCAGTATATGCTAATGTGGTACATTTGTGTGTGCCTGTGTGTCTGTTTAGTGGGATAGGAATAAGATAACCCTGTCCTTAAGAGAATTCTTGGAATTGCGGTTGGTATTTTCAGTCCTGTCTTACCTTCCCTTTTCTTGGTTTAAGGACTAAAGAGTGGAGAGTTCCTTTTCTTTACAAAATTTCACCGGATCCAACGAAAACCTGAGGGATTTGGCTCACTCTAGATTAAATGATTGGGGTGTGAGAGAGGACTTGTGGGGTCTTCCTTTTGCCCCCCTCTTGTTCACCCCTGCCTCAGGGAGAGGTTTGGCTTTAAGTGAGCTGTGTGCCACCGCCCTGATGAGCAGGCGGGTGCTGCGCTGCCTCGAGGGAGGCCCTCGCGCTCCTGAATTGCGACCTGGGCAGATTCGTCCTGACTTGCTGCAACTGGTGTGGAGAAAGCAGCGGTGGGGAAAGGAACTGGGAGTGGGGTCGGCTGGGAGAGGTAGGGCGAGGAGGGCGTTGAGTTTCGCAGCTGAAGCAGGCTCCCTGCTGTCTCTGCCTCAGGGTTCGAACTGTTCAGTTTTTGCAGCCCAAGATGTGCGGGTGGTCGCTCCGTGGCCGGCCTGGGGCGGCGAGCAGCAGGGTTGAAGCTGGGGAGGCCCGGCAGGCGCGGGCGGGAGCGGAAACCCAACGGTTTTTCTGGAAATTGGCTGAAGCGGGGGTCGAGGCGGGTGGATCTGAGAAGCCCGTAGCGCCGGAGACCAAGGGTGAGGGATGCGGGGGAGGTGAAGGCACGGAGTCAACGCGGCAAGACGAGGGCAGGGGACCTCAAGTGTGGGTGGGGTGAGCCCTAAAGGAGGAAGAAGGTGGGGGATGGTGGGAGACGCGGTCGGACCCCCTCTGCGTCTAGACACCCGGGGCCCGGGGCTCGGTCCGCTGAGCTCGGCTGCGGGCAGCGAACCCTGAGCACACGGACATTTCGGCCGCTCCGTCCACCCCGGCCCTGTCCTTTGCACGAACGGTCTCAATGTCCCGTAGGGTGGCGCAGGGTTGGACGCTGGAATCGGAAGAGGGGAACCCCTTGCCCTCCCCATCCCCGGGCCGAGCTGTGACCCGACCGAGGTTCCTCGAGGGGCTGAACGGGAAGGCAGAAGGTGGCCGCATCTCCCGCGAGCCGCCCCGAGGGCCTGCGCTCTCCGAACCCCGGTCACCTGGCGTGCCAATCGGGAACCCCTCCGTGAGTGCAGCCGGGCGGAGGAGGGGGCTGTCTTGCCCCAACCGGCTTCTAGGGCCCCTGAAAGCCTACTCTTTCAGCCAGCCGGCCTTGGGGGAGGGAAGAGATGTCAGTTTTCCTGGAGGGTGTGCCTCAGGAGGAGGCCCTCACAATACGGGAGGTGATGGCAAAGCCTGGGGCACTTTCCACACTCTGATGCTGGGAGGACTGCGCATCCTGGCGTTCAAGTCAAGGCCCACTCTTGTCTGGCCCCTCCGACCGCCCGTCTTCCGGCAGCGGGGAGGCTGCCACGCAGACACTGACTCTGGCCTCTGAACAGTGTGTCTGAGTTCCCTCCGCCCGGAATGCCCTTCCCTCGTCCTCTCCAGCCTCGCCCCAGCCCTCTGCCCCGCCCCGCCCCAAGCTGGCGCCACCACGCGCGGCTGAACTCTGCCCTCCCGCCGCGGGGCGCCGCCCCTACCCTCGCTCCTGCCCTCGGCTCAGCCCTCCTAGGGTCGTAGGACCGTGGAGAGTGGCAGCTCCCTGAGGGCAAGAGCTGCGGCTAGTCCCACCCGGCACGCAGTGGACGTGGGGTTTGCAAGGAGGGTGAGCGCAAGGTAGAGCAGGGCCGAGCCCGGTGCCTGGGCTTTTGCTAATTCGTGGCCGGAATGCAAACGAGATGCAGATGAGCCGTGAGACGGCGCGTCCGCCCCTCTATCCCTGCACTCACCGTCTCATGCCGCCCCCACCCCACCCCAGACTCGGAGAAGCCGCCGCTGTCCCTGGAGCCCGCGGAGCGGCGCCCACAGGCCTCGACCAAGAAGCTCCGGAAGCCGAGGACCATCTACTCGAGTCTGCAGCTGCAACACCTGAACCAGCGTTTCCAGCACACGCAGTACCTGGCGCTGCCCGAGAGGGCCCAGCTGGCCGCGCAGCTCGGCCTCACCCAGACGCAGGTGGGGCCAGTGCCGTCCTCCACCAACCTTCCCCAAGTGTGTTCCCTGGGAACTCACCCTCAGGTGTGAATGACTGATGAGTCCCCAGCCTTGTTTTCGCAGTTCTCTTAGCTGGCCCTGAGTAAAATGGGGGAGTGTGTTAAAAAGGGTGGGGGGTAGGAGGGGATGGGGGATGGAAAAGGGGTGGGGTGATTCAGGGCGTAGAGGACGGTACCGAGACTGGGAAAACTGGACACTAACTCAGAGGCAGGAACTCAGGGCCTTCAGGGGCTTATGGAGGCCTGGAGCCAATGTTCCCAACATCTGCTCTTCTCCCAGGACGAGTGACTCCCTCTTGCTGGACCCCTTTCCCTTGGTCACTCCTCCTGATCTTCCAATGTTTCCCCTTTTCTCCCCATAGGTAAAGATCTGGTTTCAGAACAAACGCTCCAAGTATAAGAAGCTCCTGAAGCAGAACTCTGGAGGACAGGAAGGGGACTTCCCTGGGAGCTCCCCCTCTCTGTCTCCCTGTTCTCCACCTCTTCCAGCCCTCTGGGATCTACCCAAGGCAGGGGCCCTGCCCACCAGTTGCTATGGCAACAGCTTTGGAGCCTGGTATCAGCATCACTCCCCAGATGTCCTAGCTCCACCTCAGATGATGTGAGTCTGAGGAGGAGCAGGTCAGGCCCCAGCCTCCTACAGAGCCCAGGCAGGACCCAGCCCACCGGCACCCTCTCTGGGCTGGGAGGAAACCAGATCCAGATGGGTTTTCTCAGGAGGATGAGGAGCTAGACGAGGAAA